TGTCAAAATTTCAGTCACTGCTAGAAACCGCATTCTTTTGTAGATTCTTTTGAGGACACTTCATAACAGTCGTATATGAATGGATCTGGCTTCATTTTCATTACTCTGTTCAAAATATCTTAAAATATCTCTGACTTTACTATGTTTTCGTTTGCTTCATTTTACGGTTTGCTTGTTGGAAATAAATATATCTTGCAAAAATTGCTTTCCATGCAAATATGCAAGTATATATTTTCTATATATATATGTAAATATATCAGTGTTAAACCGATAGAGAAGTAATTGTCATTTTACTTATTTCCTGTGAAAGTGTTTTGCAATTGGCTTCATTAATTGCAGAATCAGTGAACCAGTGAATCAGACTTCGCCAGGACTGATTACTAACTACCAGCAAATGGAGACCATTTTTAGTGATGATAAATATGAAAGCACAGGAAAACAGGAGTCCAAATTTTAGGAAATGTTTATGATACTTTAATTTTACTACAGGTACTCAGAAACATGGTGCAAAGGAGTATTTAAAAGAGTTATTTTATTGCCCACTTGATCTTTGCATTCAAGGCAAATTTGCATTCAAGACAAATTTGCAGTGTTTTTAGTGTACTTCACTTATGCTTCACAACCAATGAGCCTGAGCAGGTAGGACCTCTTGCAGTAGATTTCATCTAGAGCTTTGAACATGTTAAAGTGTGTTGAAAGAACAATTTTTGTGCTTTTCTTTTCTTGTAATTTTCTTTGTAAACATAGGCTGGGTGCAGAAGGCTTCATATAGCAAATAATTCCATTACATCATCTGACCTTAGCCATCCCTCCAGAAAAGGGGGGCTAGAGGTTTAAAATACATATGTATATTAAAAAAAACACACATATATACATATTTACGTACAGATCAGAAATCTACCTTGCTAGTAGAAGAAGCTTAGCAGATAGGTGCTTCTCCATGCCAAATCCAGATCCTGCAGATCTGTCCTGAAAAGAGACAGCTAAACTATTTATTTCAAGCAATTAAGCATGCATTACACTTTCTCTTGCACAGCAACTAAAATACAGCCACATTTGTTTGTCTGTTCCTTACTCCATTTTAGCAACAAATGGCAGAGATTCAATTCAATGATGAAATTATGCAGCCATCAATTTATATACTTAGAGTGATCTCAGACATCCATGAAGACCTGTGTGTGACCATACCTGCTTTTTTTCACTTTTTCTGAGGAAATT